GGCCAATAATAACACGACACGTGGCCTATGGACCCACTTAAAGGATTCCTAAACAGAATCAGTTAAGTGGTGGTAATACCAAATTTGTAGAAATTTATCTGGTGTTAAAATCCATTTTTTTATGGGGGTGTTAAAATCAATTTTTGCGTTTTTGTGAGGTATTAAAATCTAAAATTTCCTTTATTTTATGTAAAGAGTTATAGATAATCCAAAATCATATACTCCGAATCATATTTGCAAAATCTAATAAGATGGGCATGCATCATACAAACAGATTTTCACATATTTTCTTACACATTATAGCTCCATTCTCACTTGTTTTTCTTCTTTGAACATTACATGACCTAAGACCCATAATGTAAACTAGACCATCCTAACTAATCTTCAAGCCAAACTTATCCAATTCGTTGATATAAAAGGGAAAATGCATGCCAGTCCATAATATGAGCAATATGTACGTTGCTTTCTACTAAAAACCTCCTTTTCTCCTCTTACGAATATAATGCAACTTTTTTTCATAGATATTTTTTTAAAAAAAAAAAATAAAAATAAAAAAGAAAAAAGGAGTGTACAAGTGTCAAAAGAAACCTAGCTTCTTTCATTAGCCCACAGCAAAGGTTATCCCAAAATGAAGAGGTTTTATTTTTTTATTTTTTTTTTATTTTTTTTGGTACGTAGTCATCTTTTGTTTTTAAGATATCTTTGGGTTTTCCTACTCCTTTATTACGTACTTTATGTGATTTGGTCAAATTTATAAAATTTTATTTTACTTTTACTTTGTGCAAGGAAAAAAAAAATTATCACGTAAAATTTAGTAAAAAAAAAAAAAAGGATTTTATTAATTAAATGACACTTACAAACAATTTTTTTAAAAAATACTACATAGATACAATAAAATATCTTAGAACTAATTACATCACACCAACAATTTCTAATAGATTTTTTAAACTTGTTTCAAAGTTATTACTCCATTTTAATATCAATTTTTATGATTGAAAGTTTTGAAACAACTAATGACATAACTGGTGAAAATGGTATATTAGAGACCGTGTTTACAATGCAAATTGAAAAAAAAAAGGTGTAGTGGTATTATTTCATCAATTTGTTACAATACATTACAATCTTTTTTTTTTTTTTTTTTTTTGGACAACCAATACAATACAATCAATGATAAATACTTATACAATGAACCTATACTACGTTAAGAAAATGAGTAAATAACACATAAGAAATTTTCCAAATGCTACGAAAGCGGCCTCTCCTTTCATCTCCTCTCCTCCACTCTTCCAGGGTTTCTCCAAAATCTTGGCCGTTTAGGTCGAAATAGTCTAATTTCTTCGGAAATTAGACTATTTCCGACCCTTTTCCTTTAATTTTATTTAGTTTTGCAATTTGAATTTCAAGAAATCTACACAAGTAGTGTAGATATTCGTCCGTCTCCCTATGTTGGAGTGTCTCCCTATAGTGGAGTCGTTAGTTTTCGTTAGTTTAGTTGTTTGTTTTTGTTTAGGGTTTGTTTGTGTATTAGGGTTCATCAAAAAAGTAATCATCTTTTGCCCTAATGTCAGTTCTTTGGTAAAGATTTGTTCGGAATCGCAACGGTTGTCAAATTTTCAAATGCGTTCAGGCGAATCGAATGAGAATGATCCTTACAGCTACAACAAATCGTTAGACCGTCTCTCCGAAAAGGTTGTATATTCCAGCGATGTGTGCGAGAGATGTACCACAGTGCAAGATCTTTTCAACGATCGTAGCTATGATCAAGGAAAACCTAATTTGATTCAATTTTATGTATTTGTTAATTTAGATTTCCTTTGTAGATGCCGGATGACTTTTTATTAATGAATTGATTTGTTAAAAAAAAAAAAAAAGTAAATGACAACTAGCGGTAACTCTTAGCAGTTTGTACTCTTTGTAGTCAGAAAATTCAATGGAAGTAATATCATGTTGTTGTTATTTAGAGGAAAGGTGTTAGATAACTTTCCTTTTTTGGTTATATTTTTGTTTTGTTTTGGATTCATTTTCTTTAGTCCTTTAAATTGGGTCAAAGTTGGGGAAGAACCATTAAAAAAAAAAAAAAACTGAAAAAGATGATCTCCAACTTTGGCTTTCCCTAATTGGACTACCACCAATGATATCTCTTTGTATCGATGAGATGATTTGAATGGTCCAATCCATGCATGCACATTTGGTCTTCGCAAAGAATTTGTTAGGATAAACTTTTCTTTCATAAGTTGTATAGATTCAACTCACTTATAATTTGACTCGCCTTTATTTTGTTTGTAGGAATATAAACGAGTAAAATAAAGTTAAATTTGAATCTGTTGCGCTTGATATTACATAACTAATGCACCCACTCACTTGACCAACTCTAAGTCATGGTTGACAATAATTTAGGCTTACCAACCAAGTTACCTCATAAGCTATTATAATATATAAATAAATATGTGGATCGATTTTAAGTAACTAAATTGTGACTACTAATAGATTTCTCCTTTTTTTTTTTTTTTTTTTTTTTTTTTACTTGTATCTAATACAAAGTATGACATATAAAAGCCCTTCCTCTATTTGAAGATTCATTATTCATAATCTTGCATGATATAATATTCTTAGACTACATCCCTAAAATCAATATTTTCGATCTTCACCTTATTATTACTATACTAAAAATTAATTTCATGATTAAAACTAAGGTTTACCTATTACAACTTATGTATTTGGTTCAAAGCATATTTATATATGACCATTATTGTATTATTTTCTATTTAGCGCTAGCTATATTTTACTCTTTTTAAAAAAAAAATTATTTTACTTAATAAAACTACGAGTTATTATTATTGATTTATTTTTCAAATAAGAAGGTAGTTTTCTCTCTATTTTTTCTCTTAATGTGAAGATAACAAGTTCTACCCGTCGCCTACCACCATACCTCGAAGATAACTACCATTAAGCATTTTCAATTCTTGTAACATGACCTCAAAATTATGATAGATGTATTATTCATCAACCCATTGTATATTTGTATTTGGCTTGTTAGGCCACAATAGAGTCGAGTTGTTATCTAATGATAAATCTTGATGTATATATATGGTTGAAATTTGCTTAGTAGATTTTGTTTTTCTTAATTCAAAAATTCAATGAAATTAGGCTAATTCTATTATCAATGAACGGTCACTTAAATCCCACAAATTGGAGAGTAAGACCATCAAGAATTGGTCTTCAATATCGCCTAATAGTTTAAAGCTTTGAACCATGCAACAAATAATGAATCAATGATTCAATAGTACTTTGAAATTGAAAGTTGTATCTTGGGAAGTGACCCTTAAAAGGTCAACAAGAGATGCTAACTACCCATGAAGTAGCTAATTAATCGTACTACAGATATTATTTGCGCATTAATCTGTTTTGATACATGCAAACATGCAATATTAAGGGCTAAATATAAATTACTCTGTATTAGTTTAGCAATTTGGACAAAATCATTGATTAATCGGTGTTAATATCACTCCAATTTGTTTAATACAAAGCGTCTTTTATATACTACCTCCGTTACAGGTTATGTGCAACGATTAGACATTTTCCCTCTCTGCTTTATGTCAAATCGTTGCACATAACATGTAACGGAGGTAGTAACTCACTTTATAAACTGCGTATGTAATTGTTTCTTTTTTAAATTGGGAAAAAACGATAATGTTATTACTTATTCATCAATTATGTTACTTATTCATTTAACGGAATCATAATAACTTTTAATAATGTCGTCGTTTAGAGTTATTACTCCGGTATTTTTATTTTTATTTTTATTATTTAATATGCATTATTGGAGTCTTGGAGAGTTGGAGATGGACAAAGTTGGGTAAATATGATGAAATATTGACATGTCATTACAACTGTGAATTGTACTAAGAATGAAAACTATTAGTGGGAAAGATGGAACATAATTAGTAAAAACAACCCAAAATTGCCTCTTCATGTTTGGTGCCAGTAATTTGGGGAGTGATTTGTGTTACTTGTGTAACAATTAGCTGCTAAACCACGGAAATTAAAGATATTGCAAAAATCTTCAAGATAATCAAAGCTTAGATATTTATCAATGTCAAGCTAAGCCTAAAAATAAGTATTGGCAAACTTAATACTTGTTACACTATAAGGTTTGGTAGGTATATAGATATAGAACAATATTATAAACAAAAATCATCCACCACTGCACAGTCACATACATCTCAAGTATTAGCCTCGAGACTAATTAAATTATCTGAACTAGTCGACATCCACATAGTGACGTCATAGTAACGAGTAACACAATAAGTATTATCAACCAGTCTATTACTTATCCTAAGTTATTCCCTCTTTGATAACAAGCTTCACTACCAAAAAGATTAGAGAGCCAAACACGTACACTTAGTCCACGTGGAACTGTTCAAAAGAGACAATTACAACTTATTAAAAAAAATTAACGTTATTATATATTGATGGTGAAAGGATGTTGTTATTTTTGTGGCTTTATTAGAAGTTCAGTCTTAGTCTAAAGTCTTAACTTACCAATGTCAATTATTGCTTTTTGGCCCTCAATCTCTATTTTTATTTGCTCATGTATTAGTTGCTTCTAGAGACATGTCAAGAATAATTTAGCTTCCTCTTTTTATTTGTACAAGAGGCATTGAATTCTAGTAATTAAGATAAAGTAAAAATATATACTCATATAATTGGTACGTATTTGTTTGAAAATTAAATCACAACAATATCAAATTAAAGTGAAATACAATACAATTGATAATAAATTATGATTATATCATTTCATTTCCCTAGTACTTGTTGAGTTGTTGGTAGATCTAGAAAAATAGATCCTACTTGGAATACTCATTGGAAATAGTTAATGCCATCTCAAATTAAATTGTACTTGAAATACAAAAAAAAACCTTATTTTGGCTCAGATTGATATGATGCAATCAAAAACACTCCGTAATTCCTTTTTTTTTTTGAAACCCCCAACCGGGTGACTAAATTAAATCAGCCGTAACAAGATTAACAATACGAGATGGGATTACATCAATCCACATACGTTGGCCAACCTCCCAAGGTTGAAAATGAGCCAAGTCGTGTGCCACCCTATTCCCATCACGTTTAATGAAAGACCAAGAAACAAAAGCAAAACTAGAACACAAATTAACAATATCCTCAATGACAAGATGAAAAGAACTAGAACCACTACTCTTCTCACGCAAGGCCTGGATCACAGGAAGGCAGTCACTCTCTACCTCTACTCTGCTCAAACCCATCTCCTGAGCAAGCTTCAAACCCCAGAAGATAGCCTTAGCTTCAGCAATCTTAGTTTCCCACACATCCATCATCTGCACCGAAGAGCAGCCACGAACATTCCCCAAACTGTCTCTGACTACAGCTCCCAGCCCTGAGCCCAGACCACTCATCTGACCAGCGTCCACAAAATTTAAAGGAATTCTGGCTGAAGGGGTTTGGCTGGGAAAAAAAAGGTTTTAATATGTTCCCATATTTAGTTTGATGAATGACATGAGAATTTAAAGGAAAAGGGAGGAGAGTGAAAGGAAAACCTCTTTACAAATTTCCAGCTTTCCTTTCCTCCCAAAATTGGACGAATTCGATTGGAAAGAGAAAATAAAAGCATATTTCATTTCTCTTCCCTTCATTACCTTTCATTAACCAAACATTGGAAATAAAATCTCATTCTTTTCCCTTATCTTCCCTTCTTTTCCTCTCCTTTCCTTTCTCTTTTTTCCTTTACTATCAATGAACCAAACAAAGCCGACTTTGTAAATATTTCGTCATAGAAAACTGATTATATATTAATCCGTAACTAAAACTGGACGGAAGTTCGTCCAACTTTATATCCCTTAGAGTGAGGGATAACTCAAGTGGATAGAGCTTTTCTTTTAGTTTCAAGAAATTCTGAGATCGATTCTCACCCCACCTTTTGTGGCTCTCTACAAAAAAGTCATACGCCCTAAAAGGAATCAGAGTCCAACCAAATGATAAATCCACGAACCTATTAATACAAAACATTATAAAAAGTATATTTAATGATGAGAGCACAATCATTTTAATTTTTGGAAACTTGTTAGGCTCGACACTTGAATCTAATGGTGAGTAGAGTGTCCATTATATACTCGCATATATTTATGCTTATACTAGTGTAAGTTTGTGTATTAAAATTTTGAAGATTGTGAGACAAATTTATGAGTTTTAAATGTCACTTCTTCCATTTACGCTCTTATCATTCAAAAATAATTTATCTATTCATACATGTGAACTATTGAAATAAAAGAACATCAAACTGTTTACTATTGCTTCCTTTTTGCTAATTCTTTCACTTGAAGTTCTATTTGTTACAACACTTTTTTTTTTAATCGTATTGAGCTCTCAACTCGAGTCAAGATAATCTTACACGCAGTTATTAAATATCCATTGTTTCGTCATACATTTTTTTATACTAGTATACTCCTTATAAGGTTATCCCAAATTTTCATATATCTCACTTCTCCTTAAGTTTGATAAAACAAATTTAATTAGGGTCTGTTCATATTTACTGAATTGAGTTGAACTGAAATGAATATTTTATGAGAGATGGAAATTAGAAGCTGAACTGGACTGAACTGATTGGAACTGAACTAAACTGAACTGATTGGAGATGAATTGAACTGGACTAAACTGAAATTAAGCTGAAGTTAACAGCTTTTTAGTACTCCGTAAAGAATAAAAAATATTTACTCCTCTCTCCATTGAGCAAACCACCTTTCTTCTTTCCTCTTTTAATAATCCATTTCTACATTTTTTTTGCCAACTTTTATGTCTTCTACTTCTAATTTTCGTGAAAACTCATAAGTAAAAAAAGAATTATTTATTTTAACCTCAAAATGTAATGTACAAAAGGATATGCATTAATGTAATGTACACAAAAGGATTATTTTAAGAGGAAGTATATGCATTAATGTGTATAAAAGGATTATTTTTTTTTTTAACCTCGAATGTAATGTACTCAAAATATTGTATTTAGAATAGAAATGAAATGTTTTGTACTGTAAAGGATCAAAGTAATTTATTTGATTTTTTGTAATCTTCTGCATGTTGTTTGAATGTTCCAAATAAATATAAATTTAAATGGACTGTTTTCCCTTAAATCAAGTGAATAAGAGTGACTTATCAGCCAAATTATAGGAAGAAAATTTAGCAGCAATGGTCAAGCAATTTCTGGGAAGTTATCAAACTTCATGCTAATTGTGTACTTTTTTTTATGTGATGTTAATTTTGTACATAGATCCAAAGTCAATAATTAAATAATTCTCAACTTCCCCATTTAATAATTTTGTTTAATTAATCTTGAATTTTTCTTTCTTTTGACAAGTACGTACTCTTGAATCTTTAATTTTTTTATGGAGAAAACTTTTATATTTCTCACATTACATTATAAAAGTATTTTCCTAGTATCAAAACGTTCAAGTTTATAAGAAGTCTCATGTTGCTATCCAATTTTTCTGAAGGGTTCATTAAGAAGTGAACCCTTTTTAAAAAAAAATATTTCAATTCTTAATTGTTAAGTTTTCATGGGGGAACTTAACCAATCTAAAACAAGCATTATGCAATGCTAATTACAATCTTACAATAGTTATGTGTTGTTAGCTAGGGCTAGGGGTGATTTTTTTTTTTTTTTTTAATGACATAACTTTTAGATCATAGGAAACATTTAATGGTTTGCATTGTGAGACGAATTTATTAACTCACTAATAGCAATTTAATTGATTATCATAACGGATAATTTCATAATACATTCAGAAAGTTCTTCGTATTACCAGTGGCGGACCCAGGATTTTCCGACTGGTGAGTCACAATCGATAATCAAATATGCAAAACACAATGAGTTCAGTTGCAAGGAGTATATATACATATATAAAGTCGTGACATGTCCTCGGTGTACTTTCTCTAAAACACTCCACCCTATCCAACACCATATTTTCCTCAACCCCCAAAAGACTCATATCACTTTCGTCACCCTCCAAGTTTTCTTAATCTTCCACTTAACACTTACGAAAATAAAACAAAAACTGCAGTAAAAATAAATCAGATAACCCACCATTTACCGACTACGTCATCTTTTGCACTTCTTTTCTTCCACACCATTTTCTGCAATTTCCAGAACCTCTACCCCAAAATGCCAATTTTTTCATATTTATTCTCCTCTCTACAAACTCACCTCCCTCATTCCCAAACTGTAACCACCACCCTAATTTCCAACTACCGATTACATGCCCGCCCCAACCACCACCACCTGAATCATGTCCTTAGCTGTGTGGAGTTAACATCATACAAATCCAACGATCAGCAATCAACTAGCCAACTCCTCACAAAAAAACTAGTCTCCCTGACTTTTTCCACACCATCATCATCAATTAGTAATCATCTCCAATTACTGTCCACTTCCAAAAACACAATTACACAAAACAGATTTCACATAAGTAATAACTAATAAGTTCAAGAGATTTCAATTACACAAAACACAATTACACAAAACAGATTTCACAAAAAGTAATAACTAATAAGTTCAAGAGATTTCAATTACACAAAACACAATTACACAAAACACAATTACACAAAACAGATTTCACAAAAAAAATCAATTGATGATTAGTTGATTACCTACCTTGCTAGGCGGAGGCGAGCAGCGGAGCAGGCGGAGCAGCACTGCAATAGGGCCACGGGCAGTCGGCCAGCACCGCAGCACGGCAGTCGGCAGCACTCAAGTCTCAGGCACCGAGGCACGCACTCAGCAAGACAGCAATTCGCCAATTCAGCAGCACAGCCAACTACAAATTAACAAATCAACCAAAGTTTAAACCAAAGTTTAATAAAATTAACAAATTAGACTGAATTAATTTGAAGATTAGAAATTAAAAATAAAAATTAGAAATCAACTTACTAGCACCGACGTTTCGAGTAGCGATTTCACGAAGAGGACGGAGTCCACGAGTCACGACCACCGAGTCACCGACGTCCGACTACCAGGCGATTAGGCGAAGAGAACGGTGGCTGCCTGGCTGCCTGGCTGGGACGAAGCGAAGAGGCGAAGTCACGAAGAGAAGAATGGAGATGAGCGAAGAGGCGAAGTCACGCGAAGTCACGAAATGGCGGAGAAGGCGAAGTCACGAAGAGCACGAAGAGGCTAGGGCTTGAAGTCTCCTCTGATTTTAATTTTTTTTTTTTTTTTTTTTTTTAAATAACTTAAATTTTTTTTTTGGGCCTGGTGAGTCACTTGACCCACCAGGTCTAAGCCCAAGTCCGCCAATGCGTATTACTAATGAACAAATTAATCGCCCCTATTTCAATCTGACTCCCTCTCCCCCTCTTCTCCCCAACCTAGGCAATGTATATTGTGTTAATGTACAATAAATTTTACTATGTGCATTGTATAACCAAAGCTAATTTTGATTTACGTGCTCATTTAGGATAGCTCCAAATGAATAAATAAATAAATAAAATAACATTAGTTGAGCCATGCAAATAATACAACTGGTTGTATTATGAACACCTAGCCAGAATCTACTTTTGTAGCATTTTATTGTTTGAAACTATAAATGTTTATGTTGCATACAATTTTTTGTGCTCACTTTGGTTATTATCATCATTAATTATCATTTAAAAAATTAAATGGAATAATTGGACTTGGTCCCAATCTCAACTAGTTGCTAAAGAGTCGGTTTTCAACACTAACAGCTTGAAATCAGAGTGTAATTGACAATATTTGAAGTACTTCTACAATAAGACATTTAGAGGGCCATATTGGTCAATTACCTTTAGAAAAAAAATATATATAAAAAAGCTACTTTTACAAATTTTACAAAACTTTTTAGACTTTTTAACTAAATAAAGACATTTAGAAGCTTCAATGAGAATATATATATAAGGGAATTTTTTATTTTTTTTTAAATTTAGAAAGATTTTCTTCAAAATTAAAAAAATTAAGGTATTGTTTGGAATTATCCAAATTTTGATGGGCATAATTTTTTATGATTCTAGCTATAACACACATAAAACAACCAATAAAAGTGCTTGAAAAACCTTCTTCCTTTTGTCTTGATTCATGCTGATGTCATCCTTATTATTTTATTATATCTAAAACTTTTAATCTTATTATTAAAATCCAATTAGTAATTATACTAATTAGTCATTTGAGAGGACATCAAAAGTCAAATTTTAAGTAATTAATTATTTGTACATCTGGGAATTTTCTTAACAGATGAGTTGGCTCTGGTCAGATTTTAGAAACCATATTAAATTCTTAAATATTAATTATAAAAAAAAATTCTTAATTTTACAAAATTCAAAATTAAAAAAAAAAAAATAATTTTTTAAAAAATAAATGGGTTAAAATTGTAAATATCAACAAATGAGAAAGCTTCCTTGCATCCCACGTCTCTCCCTTCTCTGAACCCACCAGTATTTAGGGAGGTCTTCTGCCCAATTATGCAAATTTTCATAACACCCTTTTCATTTTTCCTAGCCCAAAAAAATTTTCCCACCTTTCTTTTACTTCTTCTTCATTTTCTAGTGATCTTATATAAGAAAAAAAAAATAGCTTAATTATTTGATACCCTTATTTGATTAGTCTTCTTTGATTACTCATTATTTGGGAAGAATTTAGATTTTCTAGGTACTCTTTTAAATTTGGTGTTGAAATCCATCTATCGTTTGTCCAAAGATTAGCTGGGTATTGGAAATTGTCGGAGTTATTAGTTGATCAAATTACTCAATTGCTGAAAAAGAGGTATTTGTTAAGAATTAAGGAGAAATTTTGCAAAAATTTTGGAACTTTTTTCTATTGTCCTAGGATTGGTAAAGTGTTAGGCAAAAATGGAAAACATGAGTAGTGTTCTTGCTGGTGATCAAGAACCAATGGACTTACCACCCGGATTCCGATTTCACCCGACCGACGAGGAGTTGATCAGTCATTACTTAGCACCTAAAGTTATTGACATCAATTTCTCAGCTAGAGCTATTGGAGAGGTTGATTTGAACAAGTGTGAACCTTGGGACTTACCAAGTATGTTGTTGATCATATTTTCATAACATAAATATTTTAATTTTGTTATAGGTTTTGAATTAATATGTTTTACTAATTATTGTTTTGGTGAATCAATTGATGATTGTTATAGAGCGGGCGAAAATGGGAGAAAAGGAATGGTATTTCTTCTGTGTTAGGGACAGAAAATACCCAACTGGATTACGAACAAATAGGGCTACTGAGGCTGGCTATTGGAAAGCAACAGGAAAAGACAAGGAAATTTATAGGGGAAAATCTCTTGTTGGTATGAAGAAAACCTTGGTTTTCTACAAGGGCCGAGCCCCGAAAGGCCAGAAGTCGAATTGGGTGATGCATGAATATAGACTTGAGGGCAAATCATCTCTTCAAAACCTACCTTCAAATGCAAAGGTATTGACAAAAATCTTAATATATTGGTGTTTGATCATTTCCCCTGTTTTCCCCCTGTTTTCCTCTGTTTTATTCCCCTGTTTTGAATTATTTTCTAACATGTATGATCATTTATTTTGTGTTTTTCAGAATGAGTGGGTGATCTGTAGGGTTTTCCAAAAGAGTGCAGCAGGAAAGAAAATTCCTTTCCCTGGACTAATACCACCGGACTCGTTTGGGGCCGAGTTTAACCCTTCGAGTATTCTGCCACCATTGATGGATTCATCACCTTACAACACTAACTATGGTGCTCCTCACGTGTCCTGCTTCTCCAATCCCATGGAAACTACAGCTCAAACAAGCCATTATCATAACACTAATCAACAACCCTCCTTTGATGGGCTAATAAACAATAATCCTTACAATTCGATTCCCTCGAATCCGAGTGATAATCTTTATTTTAGGTTTGGAAGTGGCAATAATAATTCTTATTACCCTTCTTCTCAACCAGGCCATTATTCAGGGAATTACATGATGTCAGAACAACATATTCTCAAGGCTATACTTGAGAACCATGGAACAGAGATGAAACAGAGCATGAAAACAGAGGTGGTAAATTACAGTGCTTCACAAGATACTGGTTTAAGCAGTGACATGAATGCTGAAATCTCGTCTGTTGTATCGAATTACGACATGAGTCGGAGGCCATTCGATGATCCTGATGGACCTTCGACGTCCGGTGGACCTGTAGATTTGGATACTCTATGGAATTACTGAAGAAAAAAATTTACAGCAGGAGGTGATCATAGATGAAATTAGGAGGGAAAAAATGAAAAAGAAAAAAAAAAGTCTCAATTTTCTATTACCTTACTGAATTATTAAGGGTTTGTAATAGTTTGATGTATAGAATTTACTGAATCCAATTAAGGATACAGATCAAATATACAATATATTCTGTATTATAATTATATAGTTAGTAGCATACAATATGACAATTCTTAGTCTTAATTTCTTTTTTAATATCTTGATTTGGTTGTTAGTCTTCTGGATGTAATTTGTTAGAATTGATTTATTGAAGGTTAGTGACATACTGATTCACATTAGTACAGTTTCAGCAGTTTGTTTTTATATATACATTGATTTGATTTTTGTTTTTTTTAGGTTAAAATATGCATCTTAATATTCTTATGTTATGGCTTACACAAAGTTGTTTTTATCACTATTAGCCTCTATGTTATGCTCTTTTGCTTGTGCAAGATCCCATTTTTTGTCCCTTAGAATTTCGGTCTAGCAACCGTAGTCCTCAGGTGACAATACTCACAAAGCGGAGTGTTAAACACGTTAAATTAGGCCGTAATAAGAATGATCTTATACCAATTAGTGACACGTTACAAAAAAAAACGAAAGGGCTCATTCGACTCACCATTAACCTAAAACTCGAGAAGTGTATGTGTTTAGAGTTTAGACCATGTAATTGTGAGATTATACAAAAAATGAGGTTACTTTCATATACTTTACATTAATTGTAGTTTTTTGGGGGCTAGAATGAATATGCTGTTACAATCTTCACAATCTCTTTCTTCCACATTAGAATGCATGAATATGCAGCCATCAAAGGATAAAGTTTGGTAAAAGGGCCACTTTCATGACCTGACTCATGGATTACTACTACTCTATTTGTCTTTATTATTCCCCTCAAATTAATGGGAAAATATGGAAAAAAAAAGATGATTATTATAATTCTAGTAATATTAGAACCGTTACACTCTTTGAATTTGTTGTCTTATCTCTTAGAATCCGTCCATAATTTTTCTTATCTTTTTTTTGCCTTTTTTAGTTTCAAGCGATGGTTAAACGCTTTATAAAATATGACTATATCATTTTATGAAGCTATTTATTCTATTATTTTACCTAGGACAATTCTTAGTATTTCAATTAAGGTTGAATTAAGATACTTAGGAAAAAATGAAGAGGAAAAAAAAAAAAGGGTCCTAGGTGAGCTTTAAAGTTGTAAGGCCGTTTTTGTTTAGCAAAGCAAAACCTTTTTTTCCCCCTTTATGAAATGCGCCCCATGTCATGAAATTAAGGTTACTAAATATCAATTGTGAACACTATTTAAGAATTTTGTTGTTAGAATTACACACTAACTTATCTCCAGCATAGTCTCTCTATTTCTTTATCAACTATAGACTATTTTGTTGCATATGAAATAACATACTACTTTGGCATGTATTTTGTGTATATAAAAGATTACGATTTTAATATTAAATCAATAACTATTTGCATGTAACTAATACAGAAGCCAGTTTTCATTCTTGTAAATACCTAAACCCGAGAGAATATGATGTTCGATACATTTTTTTTTTTCTCGAGTGTACCAAATATAATAAGTATATCATCAAGATGTATGAATGAACTCGTTCAACAAATAGGCTACAAAAATTGCACTAAAAGGTAGAGCTAGGATTGCATGGAAAGAAGGGATGAACTTAATTTTATTTTATTTTATGTATTTATTTATTTTTTTAATCTTGAACTCTTGCAAAAGAGTGTGATTGTGTAAAGCATGGTGGTAGCTCAGGTTATACAATATAATGTTTTCTTCATTTATAATCTCGAAGGGATTAAACCTCGTATTCCTTACATTTTTCCAAATTAGCTTATCAACTAACCCTTTTTTTTTGTTCTATCATGTAGAGGAATGTTCCAAAAAAATTGTGAAATCTCAAGGGATTAAGGATCAAACTATAACTCATATATCTAGTTTTTAGATGATGTATGCATGAGTGATCTCCCTCTTAGTTTTGGGGCTCACTAAAAATATGTTATCTATTTGTTTAAGAGTTAAACAATCATAATCAATAGATATACATACACAAAACTTGTAAAATTACATAAGACATTGATGTTTAATTTTGTCATTTTACTCCTACGATTCTACGTACACCCTTAATTTGTCTCCATCTGAAAAATGAAATTAACTTAATCTTAAGTGTTAATGATAAGAAATTCAACATATGGAGATATTTGATACGCCAAACACCCCCATATCCTCCGGTCTCCTATAACCATCTTTTCTACAACACAACCGATTCATATATCATCCCTACTCCTTATTCTTGCATGCCTCTTTTTTTTTTTTTTTTTTTTTTTTTTTTTAGCATACCTCTCCTTAGGCTTTATTCTATTCACATCATTTTCCCTTATCATATCATGAATTCAAATAAGATAAAAAGTTCGGATAAAACCTACTTAAAGTTTAATAACTTCAAATATATGAAATTAAAATCAGATCAGATTATTACACCCTATCTTTATCTAAACTTACCTTACCTTACCTTCCTCTCCCAAATCCTTTTACCTAAAAATCTGACATCGTCCATACTCTCCACTATAACTCATTTTTTCTTATTTGCTCGTGTGAAGGAGATCCAACTTAGTAAATGTGTCAAAAATTAGACTTGGTTATATACTTATCTTATTCAATTTACCTAATTATTTGATAAATTAAAATTAAACACCACCAATCTTGCATTTTTTTTTATAATAATCATAAATTGTTTTTGAGGGTTGTACCGACCTGAATTTTATGTTGTGATTTTTGTTATTTTAAGAGAGAATATTTTTAATTTTTTTAACGAAAAGAGAGAATATTTTAAGGGAGAGTATTAATAACAAAACAAAAATTAAAATTTTATGTTAAAATGCAACAATTATAGGTGGAAAAGGTCATTGGGATCGGATATGAATAAAAATATTTATTAGCCCAAAAAGTGCCGGCTCTTACGCTGACAAGACCAAATAATTGGTCAGATCATATTCTCATTTTAACAATTTTGCCGCCCCTTTTTTCCCGGGAGATCCTAAATAAAAATGTAAAAATAATTAAAAAAATACACCCATTGTCTCTATTTATTTGCCTCATTTGAGTTTACATGCTCTTTAAAACACGTACCCGAGTACTTATGAAACAAGAGGATACCTCTAATTTACGTATACGCAAAATTAGAAAATGTGATATACAAACTAGATATTAATATCTCCTTTTACAAAAATAAATTCAACAAGATTTTACATGATGTTAGTCTTAAATCTTATAGACTAGTGACTCAAATAGACATAGGAGTAAATAATAAATAAAAAACACTTGGGTATTCTCCACTTCACTCTATTCACAACAGGCTGGGTAGAATATTCCCACAAACACGTCAAAAAGAATCTTTGTTTTTAATGTTATTGCATTTGCAAGTTTATGTCTAACTTCTTATCCAATAAAACATACATTATCGAGCATACATTATTACAAATTCAATTTTACCCTAACCCACCTATTCATGCATCATATCTATACATTCTACATACAATCGTGTATATCGAAATTAAAGGAAAAATATATACACCTCTTTGTATTACATGTTACATTGATGAAATACGTAAACATTAGTATAAGTCATCGTCATAATGTATACTTGTAGATTTTTTAGGCATATTCATTTTTGACACTTTTAGTATGTTTTGTCTTTAAACAAGCGAAGTTTATAATCAGTGGTATTAGCATAAATGAAAATACGTACACCTCTTTGTATTACATGTTACATAGATGAAATACGTTAACATTTTCATTTTTGACACTTTTAGTATGTTTCGTCTTTAAACGTACAAAGTTTATAGTCAGTGGTAATCGCATAAATGAAAATCTGACGAACATATGTATAAAATAAGATATTCATATATAAATGATTAATGGATACATAAATAATTACTAGATGCTTTGAATTTAGCTAGGTAGAAAGTAGTTGTAACACATTGTAAATTTTTATTTTTATTTTTCCCTTTTTACCATATTGATTAAAGTGTATACGGAATTTAATAATTTAATTTAGCATCAAATTGAAAATGACCATTCAGATCTGTTGTGCGACAGCGGAAGCAAAGGTCGTAAACAAACAAGAAAACAATAAAGAAATTCAATGCAAACAATAAGAACAACACCAAGAATTTACGTGGTTCACTATCGATGTGATAGCTACGTCCACGGGCACCGAGATCGAATGATTTCACTATAAACTGCAAAGATTACAAAGATGATTCTTGTATTTCTCAAGAACGGCTCTCACTCTGTCTCTCTTAACCCTAATACTGATATTAGGGAGGTTTTATATTAATCCCTAATTAAAAGATACTTGGGCAAAAAGATAATAAAATAAGATAACCTAAAACCGCAAAATCCGCGTTCCGTATTTTTCCTTCTCCGCCCGGTCAGACCGGGCAAGGTCTGCCCGATCGGGCGCGAGAAGAAAACTCCATACGAATGCTTCAACGTATCCAACCCCCACCGCCCGGTCAGACCGGGCAAGGTCTGCCCGATCGGGCGAAGGCTCGCCCGGTCGGGCGAAGGCTCGCCCGGTCGGGCGCGAGAGCAGCTTCTTCAACGAATTTGCCAGGCACCTCTTCTTCTTCCGCCCGGTCAGACCGGGCAATGTCCGCCCGATCGGGCGGACAAAGCTACGAAGTACGAGTCACCTAATATACTTATCAACAATCTCCACCTTGACGAGAACTCGTAGTCAGCAAACGACCCCATCAAGACATAGTGAAAAAACATCTCAAGCCAAACCCGATGCAGGACTCATGCATAAGCCATACATCCCGATAAGTCTTCAACCAAGACCCATCACATACTCGTCTCCAAGTATAACAACTCATAATGCTCCACCTGCATCACAAGCCCCGGGCAAGCTCCACCTTAATGCCAACACACCTACACCAGGAGCTCCCCAACTTCGCCCCTCAGGGCCTACTACATCACGTAGTAATCAATATTTAGCAAGTCTAAGCAATGTTTAAACTTGCTAAACGGAACAGGCTTAGTGAAGAAATCAGCCGGGTTGTCAGCAGTCCCAATCTTCTTCACCTTAATCCTCTTGTCAGTACGCAAGAAATGATACCTGACATCAATGTGCTTCGTCCGATCATGGTGTACTTGATCTTTAGCTAAGCAAATCGCACTTAGACTATCACAATATACTGTAGCAAAATCCTGTGCAATACCCAGTTCACCTACTAGGCCTTTGAGCCAAATAGACTCCTTAGCTGCAGAAGTTAAAGCCATATACTCAGCTTCAGTAG